AGGCAAAGGTGGGCTAACCTTGTATATAATCATGTGAAAGGCAACATCACTGAGAGATTAGTAAACAGGTTAACTAGTTCTACTCAGAATACCAAAAATGGGCTGAAGTCCTGAAAAGAGGACCCAGGGAAAATAAGACACTCATTTGAAAAGCAGATACTAAGGAAGAAGATGACCACTAGGATTGGGTGAAAGGGCACAGTCAATTAAACTTAAGAGCAGCAATCTTCAGTCACTCACTAAGAATACATGCCAGACACTAGGCTGAGATACCACAGTGAATAAAATATAGTCCTTGCACACAAGGACGCCTAAGTCACTCATATATTTCCCTTTAGCCATTGCTACTTCCCTGTAGTCTGAAATCAATATTAAATTTCATTTCTCTGTAATATAACAGCATTAGTTTACAGATTAGGTAATTCCAACTTTCCAGTGAAACTTGTCAAACACTACAGGACTCATAGCAACAATGCCTTGAGGAATACAGACAAAGGCCTATAACCATGTTTTGGCTAAAATAGCCAGAGGAAACTATGGCAAAACTGAGAAACCATGATAAGATGACCATAAAAAAAGAAAACCCTAAGCAAGAAGTCAGAATGAGATGAAAATCAATACCTATGAGAATGTAAGCACTTCTTGGGGGAAGGCAATACATTTCCTCAAGTCCTAAGAATAAGAAGTTTAAATTTTTAAAAAAACAAATAAATAGAAGGAGGATCCCAGATAAATGGAGAACTTGAAGGGACTCAAATTACAGGATGACTACCACACAAACCTCTCTATTCTACCTGCCTCCCCTTCTTGGAACATACTTCCCTCATGCATACAACAGACTTGTGCCAACATTTGCTGCAAACTCCTTGCAACACTGACCCACTAACCTCCTTTAATCAGCACTCAGTTTTTACTCTGGTCCCATCAACCCTAGTAACAGTCCTTCTCAACTAGTTCTCATGGAGAAAAAGAGTATGATAAACTAATTCTCAAAATGGTGCTACATGACAGATAGCAGCTTTTCCTGAGGACACAGAATTTTATTTTTAATTTCTGAAAACTGAAATACTTTTAGCCAAATGAATTTATCCTTACTGTTAAAATGTCAATCACAAAAGCCAGACAGAGGAAAATATCTTTGGACACAGGGAAGTTTTCAAAATCCCGCAAATTACACCACTCTGGCAACCACTGGCTTGCCTGTGGGGGAGCTCAGTACCAAACTGCCTGGCCCTCTGTGTCCCCTTCAATTAGTGGGGACGGGGGATTGGGGAGGAGCTGGCCACGGTGGTGCCAACATAGCTCCTATGCAGCAGCATTTGTACTAGGCTTTCAGTACTACACCTGGATTGGAAACCAACCCAAAGTGAAGTGTAGCTTTGCAGGTTTTTACCAGGAGAGTGGGCAAGTGAGAAAATAATCTATAGAGATAACTCTATAGAAACAGTAGAACTCTCCTCATTTCTCTCTCCAGGCACCGATTTTATGCCAATCCTGATCTTTTATTGTTGTTCTCATGGACATTCAGTATTTTAGCTCCTTAGTACTGTCCTTGCTTTAAATAGATTATGAAAAGCTGTATAGTTTTTGAGTGACTAATAAGTCCCAGTGCATTCCCCTTGATACTTTCACTGTTTTTTTCCTTTCCAACTTTATAAAGATATTTACTGTGGACCTCATATGTAATGGAAATGTTTTTAAATAATTGAAAATAATTCCATTAAAACAGAATAAGAATTCACACTGATTTGTAATTATTGCTAAAACCATAGTAGTTAGTATTTTTCATATTCAGAAAAATACTGCCATACATTATGCATAAAAATCTGTATGACAACGTGTGCATCATATTTCACAATTGCTGTGAGTTATATGCCTGTATGCTAAGATGTGCTTAACTGCTCCCATCTGGCTTCTCCTCTTGATTCTAGAAAAACTGCTCCAATTGAAATCATTGTTAATATTCTTACAATTTTAAATAGCAGACTTCCAATATTAATATAGGAACTGATTGGCTATATTGAAAAACAATTTAAAACTCCGTGTGGAGTCCAAGCTCAGAATTATGACTCTTGTCCTCCATCCAACACAGCATGCACTCTGGATCCAACTTATCTGCCTTTGGCACAAATTTAGACACTTAGTGAGAAGTAAAAACATACTTTAGTTCCTAGGAAAATAAGAGGACATGAAAGTGGCTAAATTGAGGCAGTGTAACCAGTTAATCTGGGGAAACACAGTGCTTGTTAAGATATTAATACTGGTTTAAAAAAAAAAGTTGAGAGGCGAGAAATAAAAAAGAAGAAAAGAAAGAAGCAAAATAAACTCTACTGAAGAGGGGGAAAAAAAACCATGGCTACTGATTTATTCACTTCATTCTCTCAATATTACTTCTAGTTTTCAGAATGTTTACAACATCAACCTTCTCTTTATCTCAACAGTTTTCATGAGCTCTCACTGTGCTCCACATGTCTTTCTTGCACCCATTTCAAGATTACTTGAGTGTGGTTTATATTAAAAGAATTTTAGTATTTCCAGATAGTCCCAGCAAAAAGGAATAATGAAGTCATTATTATCTGTCATCCAAAACTATATCTGTTCCCTTGGCTCTCATGGAAAACAAAATTTTACTTCCTCTTACATACATGCCTGGGACAGTGAAAAGTACTGAAATACACATCTAACAAAAACTAGCTTAACAAACTAATTTATTAATGGGGAAGTAGTATTTGAAGTTAATAAGAGCAGTCATATGTCAAACAGGCTTGGATTTGAGTCCTAACTCAGCCAATTAATAATTGGGTAAGTGATTTATACTAAACATACTGTTTGTCTCAATGAGGTTTTTTTTTTTTTTAAAGATTTTATTTATTTACTTCTTTGAGAGAGAGAGAGAGAGCATGCGTGTGCACACATGAGTCGGGGGAGAGGCAGAGTGAGAGCCAAAGAAACTCAAGCAGACTCCACACTGAGAGCGGAGCCTGACCTGGGGCTTGATCTCACCACCAGAGATCATGACCTGAGTCGAAACCAAGAGTCGGACCCTCAACTGACTGACTATATGATCGATTTTAACATAAAAAAGGCAGATTTTGAAAGTTTCAAAAATCATATAAGAGGAAAAGAAGTCTGTGAAAGATAATCTATAACCCGATTTGTTTAAAATAGAAATAAATCTTAAAATAATGCTGTATTTCACTTTATTAGACTTACACAGACCAAAAAGTATATGTTAACCTTAAGATTTTAAAATACTTATAAGCCAAGACATATAATACATGCACAGGTCTTTGGAAGTTAATATCTTCTGCTTTAAGTAAGCACAGTTTCAAAGTTAAAATGATAATCTGCTCTAATGGTTAAAATTAGCCTTTTAAAATTTGTCTCTATAGATAATTCTTTATATACTCTTCTACACAACAGCCACTCAAACTTTACTTAGAGTTCCCTTTTCTGGATTGCTAATTTCATGAACCACAGGCATCATTTAACTTTGGAAAGTAATGATTAGTTTTTCTGTCATATGCAGTATCATTCTTTAGGATGAAATAACTGTATATTTAATAGCAAATAAAATAATTAAGATACTTTTCATGAGATTGTCTCTATTTGACGCTATTTGTCAGTACAGTTTCTTCAGAGGTGTACTAAGTAGCATTAATCAAACAGATTCATGATTATATATCAAGACCAATTCTGTTAGAAATGATCACACTCCAGTTTCCTGTCTCCATGGGAGCAACCAACAACCTCAAAGAAGTGATCAGATTCTAAGCAATGTCTATGTTGAAGATTAGTCTGAAGGCCATAAAAATAATGGTAGTGTGGTCGTGGGAGGAAAAACACTCCATAAGATCAAAATCTTTTTCATCATTTTAAAATTCAGCCCTTTAGCAGGAGTTATGAAGGAAAACAAACAAGGTCATGTTTCCAAAACCAGATAAAGAGCTAATGGCTAACAGTTATTAGGGCTTGCTATTTGTCTGACACTGTATTACTTGGATGATCTCATTCCTTGTTCCCAAAACCTCCCTATGAAGTGCGTAATATTATCTTCATATTTTACAAATGAGGCAACTGAAGGGTAGAGAAGTTAAGCACCCTACCCAAAGGCATTGGGCCCTAGAAAATGGCAGGTGGGATTAGAACCAAGTAACCAGAGCCTAAATACCACTTCCAACATAAATCTCCCAAGAGGAAAGGAATATGAACAACTAAGACATCAACATAGCTTATTATTATTTGTATTTAGATATCCATACCAAGTCAAATACTGCCCTTCAATATTTTGGGGCCCTTAATACTTTAAAAGATATTTTGTATCTTCTTTTTCCCCTGTAGAAAGTCAGCAACTCAGTGTTTGGGAAAACAAAACAAGCCGAATATATAGAGGAGATGCAGGAAACTACACAACATATTTTATATGAAATAATTCTAGCAGCTGTGTTAATATTACTTTTTATCTCAGAAAAAGCCTAGTCATATACATACTACTACTGTTTTTTACCAGTTATCCCCAATCCTCACTTCTTTCCTACTCTTCAGGCCACACATTCGTGTATATATCATGGCAGAGATTATTATTTCCTAAGAAAATAAGAACACTTTAAAAAAGCCAAAACTATTACCTATAACCAAGTTTACCTCACTTCACATATAAAAGTTAAAAAGTGACTTCAGAGTTTCAGAAGTAGGTTACTGCCCTAATATTAAAAAAGAAAGAAGAAAAACTTCAACATTCTATCAGTGACTGACTTCTTTCTTCATTTGAATTTTGTCCCCGTCACTAACTGAAGGGTTTTATTTTTCATAAGGTACTGCCTTTTGTGGGCACCACTTTCCTGGATTAGGACACCATCCTAATCCCTTTCGCTGAGAAAAGCAATTTAAAACATTGACTTTGGGCACAACTTCAAAATGAGATTTTAAGAGTTCAAGAGCTTCCACACCCAGATGACATCCAATTATGTCAAAGTAAAATTATGTCTTACCAGTCTTACCTTACTACCTTGCATACCAGGGGGCCCCATTAATCCAGAAAGGCCTTGATTGCCCTAAGAACAAAACACAAACAGAAGTGTAATGTTATGAAAAGGAAATGAAAATTAGAATTCCCTTGCTGCCGGATTTCATCTTGGACGTCAAAATCTTACTGCATTCATCTCTGATCTTCGCAATCCGCCTCAAGTTCCATCTCCTTTCTGAGTCCTTTTGCGACTTTTTCTGAGGCTATTTCTCTCTTCCCATGCTGAGTACCACTGTACTTCCCCGCCTCCATAACCCTGCTCCTTTTTTCCTGATGTTCTTTTCTCTAGGAATGCTCTCACTCCCCAAATTCCTGTAGTTCCAAGGTTTACTGTGTTTAAAAAAAAAAAAAAAGTTTGCTTAAAAATTCTCAAGCACTTTGTGTGGCAGCTGTGGAGGGCTTGGGCTGCCTCCTGGCAGGACTCCCACTAGGAACCTCAAGGCAGGGTTGTGGGGAGCAAGGGCTGGGTTCACTGGCACACCAGAGAAAGGGACACTTCTGCTTCCGGGCTGCACTGGTATTGGTCGCTGCACCACTGGGGAGTGAATGCTGTGAAAATTTTTTGGGAGGACGTGTGTTTGGCTCCAGCAGATGGGACTTCACCTATTAAGGCGGTCCATCCTCCTGATTCCCCAGCTTTGATGAGGGCCTGTGAGACCATCTTAGGGTAAGAGGGAGAAAGTATACTCATGTGAGGGAGATGGAGTGTCTGGCGGGTAGAGATGACAGTGGGAGATACAGAGGACGCTGTGTGAACTGACATGGAGAAAACATCAAAAAGAAATGGGAAGGTAATCTTGAGGCACTTTGCTCCAAGTGGTTTTTCTTAACTTCCCTTTCTCTCCCCTTCTGCTGCAACAAATATATTGTGCATGAAAAACAAAACAAAACAAAACAAAACAAAAAAACCACACACACACAATGTTGTGAAAGAAAAAAGGGTACTTAGGTAATAATCCTAAATAAATTCCTAAGTGACTGTGTTGTGTTTAATATTTAGTGCATCAAGTACCTTAATATGTCATCAAATTAAACAATCAGAACAGGAAAGAATGTTTCTGATGATTAACAATCAAGTACTTTTCCATTTGTACTAATTTTAATACTTCTTGACATTTTACTAAGATGGCTTCCATTTGTGATGGGATGACCATTTTATACAGATAATTTTTTTTTTTTACATTCATTACTCTGATAGAGGGAAAAGAAAGCTGCACTAGGAAACAGGTTATTGGAGGCTTGTCTCCTTCTACTACATCTAATCATGGGTGGATCACTTGATTTCCCTTCAAAGTTCCTCCCTGAAAAATGAGAATAATATCTCACTTGACTTAAAGGAAAGGAAAAGGGAAAACCACTATTTAAAAGTTATTTTTGTGTGCCACTGAGATCCCCAAAGGGCTTAAACACTTAAATATGCTCTATGAGAGACATTCTTTAATATGTGTTCCATGCTGAAGGACTAGCCCCTGCACTTCTTTTGTGTCATCACTGACCATATATTTATTGTAAAAACGGCTAAGTGATTAAAAATAAAACACAATTGTTTTCCAAGCCCCTCAACTCTCACTAATATGATGTTCATATTTTTTTATTCATAATGTATGTGTATAACTGATATCCTGCCTCCTCAGTTTGAACCCAATCTAATGTAAATACAATGTCTAAGAAATGTTTTTAAATTTTACCATTTTAAAAATACATCTCTCAATTTTAAAAGCTGGATTTCACTTAAAGCTCAATGGCAACATATTATTAAATAATCCTGTATCTTACTACCTTACTCCTATATAGCATTAACTACAATTAGTATATGAGTAACTCAAAAAGTGAAAAAAAGACTGACATACTTCCAAGCCTCAATGCCAATGCTGAATCACCCTATATTTTATACAGATACTGTACACATTCTGAACCACCCTATATTTTGTGCAAGGAAGCCACAAGTAAAGATAAAACCAAGCATTTGATATAAATGTGAATGCTTAATTTGGGGGGTTTATTTAAAGCAGTCACCAAAACAGAATGGACCTCTAATTTCTAAATTTTAAGTAAGAAATCAAATGTTCTATATTTAAACATTTTAAAAGATGGCATTTTGTTTCTCAGATTGCAGGATATTTTTCCTTGCAATAACAAAGGGACCAATGAAAATATGTTTCTAATAAATTTCTATTCTCTTTCTAAATTATTTATATTCAGTGAACTCAGTTCCATCACAGGAATAAAATTCTCAAGGTTCTAGATTAAAAATTTTTTTTTTAAAGATTTTATTTACTTATTTGACAGAGAGAGACATAGTGAGAGCAGGAACACAAGCAGGGGGAGTGGGAGAGGGAGAAGCAGGCTTCCCGCGGAGCAGGGAGCCCGATGTGGGACTCGATCCCAGGACCCTGGGATCATGACCTGAGCCGAAGGCAGATGCTTAACGACTGAGCCACCCAGGCGCCCTAGATTAAAAATTTTTTGAGGATTTACTTGTTGGTATAATACCTGTAAAGTTCATTAATATGGTGTGGGGTTTTGTTTTTTTTTTTTAAGTTTACAAGAGTTTCTGTAAGCCAATTAAAGATCAGATTTCAACCCAGGAACGACCAAAATTATTCAGGGATTTTAAGTTTGTGAATGTATACCATACAAACAAAAACATCCTATAATTGTATCACATTCATTAAGTACTTGTCCAAATAGAGATTCCCAGATGTATTCCTAAAGACTCCAATTTTACTCATCCTCACTGGAAAACAGTATCTTCCTCCTAACAAAGTTTTTGTTGCTAGCTTTATTAAAAATGTTAGTTTCTTTTTACCTAAATGTGAATGTGTATGTTTGACAGCATTACAATAAAATGAAATGCATACTAGACAAAAAGTCAAACAAATATATCATTAACTCAGCCACTTACTATCCATGAGTCATTTAAATTCTATGAATTCTATTTTCTTAACTGGAAAACAAGATAATGATGACTGCTTCTCTTACAATTACTGGGGACTTAAAAAAGATAAAGTATGTGGAGCTAATCTAAAAAAGGCACAAAATAGCATTAGAATTTATGTATTATTTTGTGTATGCCCTTTAACAGCAAATTTTTGAGATTAGGGCCACATTCTGCTCTAATCTTTCACCCCACCCATCCCTAACTAGCAGGTAGCACAATGGTAGGCCATAGTAGACACTCAATAAAATTAATGTTAAGATTTTAATTGATGACATTAAGCTGATGATATAATTTATTTTTCAATTATTTCCTCCTTCATTAAAGTTCTCTATCTTCTCTGTCTGATACCTTCTCTAGTTCTCTGTCTCCTCTGTCTGATATCAAGTAAAATCTATATTTTAAAAAGGTAAAAATGATTTTTTAATGCTTGAAATATATCACCATGATTTTTTTCCATGGGCAACTAATTACCTTTTCTCCAGGAACAGCTTGACCAGGGGAAAATCCTGGATCTCCTTTGGTGCCCTAGATAAAACAATTATAAAACCCTTGGTGAAGCATAAATTACATATAGTATATCACACTTCTTCAGTTGAATGCATCATCAGATAATATATATGTATATATATATATTACATGGTATTAAATAAAATTATTTTAAATCGAGATGGTCATGCCTTATTTGCTTTTTTATTGTACATTTTTATTAGTCTTATTTTTAAATGCTAAGAAGATTGTCAGACATAGATGATTTTTAAAATCTAATAAAGTTATGCTACTATTGAAACATCTTTCCTTAAGGGACCTATATAAAGGCTTCATTAACAACCATTTTTGTGACATATTCAGTTATAACTCCTATTTTAGCATTGGAAAACTAGTTACTTTTAGTAAAAGAAATCTGCTTATAATTCTTAAAATTTTATGATATCATTCCAAGTTTAAATATTTTCCAAAATCTTGCAAGGTACATGCATTACTTTTGCAATACAGAAAAAATAAATCAAAAAAATACCTCTAATTGCCAAAATAGATATAAAAATAGTTACTTTTCATACTCTGGGAATTATATTTTACATTTCAAGAGAAATATGACACTAGGTTTCAACCAAATTTTTTTGCACAATATTAAAGTAATCTTTCTTATTATGCATACTGGCAAACTATCTCTTTTTCTACTTCCCATCTCATAAAATTAAGAGGCCACAACTGAAACTCTTTATAATTCCAATTATGATTTCATTACCATTCTCAACTAGTAATAATTTCCATTCCTAAAGAGTTCTAAATGCTATTTTCATACTATAAGAAATAATCATGTGTTCTTTCACAAATTCAGGGATGCTTGAAGCAAAGAAAATTTTTAAGGAAAGGTTCTTTTCCAGGTTGACCTCTTCCCTTCCATAGCTATCACCACTTCTATCACTAAGGCTACAATTTTAGACCATTAATTACAAAATTATAGGACCTGAGAAACAGCTTTAGTGATATCTCAATATTTAAGAATTCAATCCATTCTCAAAAAAAAAAAAGGTAATATAGTTAGAATTTATAAGAGATATTAGAGCTTATCTAGTAAAACACATTCTATAGATAAAGAAGCAATGAGGTCCAGAAAGGTTAAATGATTTGATTAAAATTGCTTAGAAAAGTACTGGCAAACCAGGTCAATTTTCCTTCTCATATCACAGTGTCTATTAAATAAAAATCTTATTTATTTGTTTTAATATATTTCAGTCTTTTATTATAAAACCTAGCCAATTGATTTGAGGCAATACTTACAAAGAATTTTAAAAGAAGTTAAGAAATGATAGCCTTTGAGAATTTTAAATATAATATAATTCTTTGTGGTCAATGTTTTTACTTATAAATACCACATTAAAAATTCTTATTTTTAGGTTCTTTCTGAATTTTCTATTATCTGTCTATTTTCTTATTATCATCAATATTTTAACATTTCATCTTCATTAGAAAAAAAACCTGAGAAGGTGGAGAAAAGTAATCAATTGATCAATAAAAATCAGATTTAAAGACAGAGCTTTTTCTTATTCATAAGCTTTATGTATCTGGGCAACATATTTAAAGAAATACATGCCAGATCTCTTTTATTCCCACACAAATGTGCATGAGATAATTGATCAACTTGTTCTACAACCATAATTCTAGTCAACATGAAGGGAATGCTCTTAACTTGGCCAGTCGTGGGTTGGGATCCTCCATAGTATAAAATGCATGAGCAGAAATTATTGAACATGCCAACTTTACCTAAAACATCAAAGAAGTAGGACATATTTCTCTGCATTAAAGAATACTCCAAAATTTCTTACTTTCTCCCTCATTTTGTATTAATTCTATGACTCCCAACACACTTTTAGTCATACTTGATTGGCTTTTCAAATCCCTTTGGAATTAAAAGTAAATGTTTATAAATTAATTAATCAAAATTGATCTTGAATTTCAATATTGACTTCTACATGACTTTTGTTAAAGGAGCTATATATCCTTTTGAGTGTAAGAGGAAAAGGAAGTTGCCTACCCATTATTACTCAAAGAATTTTCAAAGTCCCACCTATTCTACTGTTCTGCTATATAGCCTAAAATCCTCATTATCAGGGCGCCTGGGTGGCTTAGTCAGTTAAGCACCTACCTTTGGCTCAGGTCATGATCCCAGGGTCCTGGGATCGATCCCCATGTCAGGCTCCCTGCTCAGTAGGAGCGTGCTTCTCCCTCTCCTCCCAGCTTGTGTTCTCTCTCACTCTCTGTCACTCTCTCTCTCTCTCAAATAAATAAAATCTTTAAAAAATAAATAAATAAATAAAATAAAATCCTTATTATCAGCACAGCTCTTTTAGACTATTATTGGATCTCCGAGGGCCCTCTGTCTAGGGGGGAAAACTCCCTAAGTACTAGCCCCATTAACATGTTAGAAAAGATTTATCAGATTAGAGCCCATTCAATATAATGGAAAGAACATTGGGATTTAGAGTGAAAACACTGAACAAATCATTTAATCTCTCTAAATTTGAGATTTCTCCTCTGTAAAATGGAAATAAGAATAATAATACCTGCCTAGTTTAGCTTGTAAGATATAGGTAAAATTCTCTATAGAGTATAAAAATGTAAGTATTAAAAATAACAGGACTAAAGACAATCATTAAAATCAATTTTACAATTATTGCCATCTTAAAAAGCAAAGAACACAATTCTTGAATGAATTATTGATGGAGCAACAAAATTTAAATGAAAAAAATTTGGAATTAAAGACTCAAATATGGATAAGCTAAATTGGGAGAGTCTCATAAAAGAAACACAAAGTGACATGATCTTGAGGTAACATCACTTGAATATTCTTCATTTAACATTACTAATAACTATATAAGCTCCATAATATCAATTTTAAGCATTACATAATATTCTCTAACCAACACTTCCTATCTTTTTAGCTCACTCTCTTAAGCACTCACAACTTTAACAATTATTTGACCTACTGTAACTGCTAATATGTGATCCCACCACATTTTCACTGTCTCATCCCCATGTGGCCTGACTTCCAATCTTTAAGCAGCCTAAATACCAAGGTCTGACATTATAATCACCTCCCGACATACATAAATGGCACCATTTCTTCTTTCTCCCTCTGTCTTATAAGCTTACCTGGCAATTATTAAATCTAAACTTACCCCTACTCTGTTCCATCCCCTAGCAGCTAAATGTGACTAAGAGAAAACAGTCATACTGACAAATTTCACTTTAAATTCATGACTTTTTACATTAATTGGTTGTGTTTTGTTTTGTTTTCTGGTGTGTCTAATAATTACCTTAGTCAATTCACTTTCCCAGTTTCATAGATAATTATAACTCTCTCTCTTCACTCTGAGTGGGTGATCTTGCTTTTAACATTCATAACCTGTCACAACCAAATCCACTACCCCACCTAAATCTGTTCCAAAATACTCTGCCTTCTAACCAAACCCACCATTCTCTCTCATCAGGACATCATCAATACACTGTCTTCCCTACATTATTTTAATTTTTATTTATTTCCAGGATAATTGGTATCACCAAGTAAACACACTGTAATTTCTCCAATCTTAAAAAAACAACTTTTCTTGAGCTACACCTCCCTTCTCTGCTCCATTACACTATTTCCCTGTTAGAGCAAAACTCCTAGAAACTTGTCTATATTAATGAAGAGACTTCTTCCATTCTCTCTTGGACTTAGTTCACTCAGGCTATTGTCCCTACCCTACCTTACTGTCATTCTTTCTCAGTTTCCTTTGATAGTTCCTCTTCTTCTTCCTAATATACTAAACTCTGGGGTACCCCAAGACTTGGTCCTTGGACACTTCTACGTCTATATTTATCTGTAGGTTAAGACAAGATACATAAAACAACTATTTGAATGCACAGGAGAACAATCGAAAAGAAGGACACACTGGAGGGGATTCAACTCTTGCAAGAAAAGAACCACACTTGGTACATACACATTTATACAACTTTTCTTCTAAGGACCCTCCACAGTCTGCATGGAAGGATTAGAATTCCAGCAGAAAACCACAGATGTTTTGGCTAATTGTGTCAGAGGACAGATTGTGAGACTACCTGAATAACTGTAAATTGAGGGGGGAAATCCAAGAAAGGAAGGAAGGAAGGAAAGAAGGAAGAAAGGGAGGGAGGAAGGAAGGAAAAAGAGAGAGAGAGAAAGAAAAAAGAAAGAAAGAAAGAAAAGAAAAGAGGAGAACTTCCCCCCAAAATCTGGATAAAGACTCTCTTCAATTCTTGGCTGATACTAAATGTGGTTGCATGAGACAGATTCCAAAGAGTTCACCAAAAAGCAACAACCAGAAGGCTAAAATAATTGAATATAAATTTCAGCTGCTGACCACCACAGGAGAAATAGTTTGAGTCACATCATTTTAAGGGACATGGTAAATGCCTTAGTAATCACCTTTCCATTGAAATTCAGGAAGGGCTATACTTTAGAAGTAAATATGATATCCTTGGACTAACACTAACAGTATAAGCAAAACTGAAAGAAATCTGTCCCTTAAAGTTTAAGTACAAGTTTAAGGTGATGAGTCAGTTATTTAATTGCCTATAGAACAAAAAAAATCAGTGATTATCAAAGGATTTCAAAGAAAGATAACAGAATCTAAAGTTCTTCCACACATCACCCATAATATCCAGTACATAATCAAATTTTTCTAGACATACAAAGAAAATAAAATCTGACCTGAGTTAAGATAAAAGTGGTCTATAGAAACAGACCTCAGAAGGACCCAGATATTGGAATTAGCAGTCAAGGATTTTAAATTAACTATTATATATATGTTCAAAGATGTAAGGTAAATGATCATCATAATTAGTGAGCACAGAAATATCAGCAGACAAGTGAAAACTATACAAAAAACACAATAGAATCCTAGAACTGATAATATAGTATCTGAAATGAAAAATTTTCTGGATGAGATTAACAATATATTAGAGAAGGCAGAAATTAAGTTTAGTAAACTTAAGAAGAGACC